GGACCTGGGGTCTGAGGGGGGCAGAGGCTGGGGCTGGGAGTGGAGGTGCTGACAGACAAGGCTGGACATGGCTGCAGGAGGCTGTGCAGCTGGACGCCGAGGTGTTCATGGCCTTGCTGCGGCGGCTGCTCCCACGTGTGCACAAGCACCTGCAGCAGGTGGGCGTCGGGCCCCTGCTCTACCTGCCAGAGTGGTTCCTGTGCCTCTTTGCCCGCTCCCTGCCCTTCCCCACAGTGCTGCGTGTCTGGGACGCCTTCCTCAGTGAGGGTAAGTGGGCTGCTGCCAGGCAGGTGGGGGGCCGGGACTACAGCCTTGGGGTACTCTGTGCACACAAGGAATGAGCTGGCCAGCTCTGCTCTGCCCTGCCCACCGTTGCCAATCCTGGCCCTGGGTGTGGGTGCTGGGGTGTGTTGAGGGTGACAACACCCTGCAGGCTCTGGGGAAACAGCCCAGCCCCAGGCCACACACTCCGGGTGTAAAGAATGGAAGCCCCTGCCCCCTGCGGTGAGACCATCCGAGGGAGGGCAGCCTTTAGGTAGATGCCGCAGGAGCTGGGGAGAGCGAGGCAGTGGAGAGGCTCAGGGACTGGCACAGGAGCTCTGGCCAGACTCTCTGGAACCAGAATGAGCTGGAAGGGTCTTAATGGGGAACCCTGCTGGCCAACGGTAGAGGCTCTCATCCCGGAGCCCAAGGGCCTACTTGGTGGGCACTCACTAGTGCCAGGTGCTGCCCCGGACACTGGGTCCACCTGAGTGAGCAGACCTGCATTCTGGGGTGGGGGTGGGGTGGAAGGCTACCATAACTGAATTGACACGATATTTATAGACTGTCATAGTGCCATGAAGAAAATAAAGCAAGGGACTGAGCGTTAGGGGAGCGGCAGGAAAAGACTGCTGCTGTTAGAGATGCTTGTGGCACCCCGTGGAGGAGGCAAGTTTGCAGGGGCAGCGTGGAGGCTGGGAGCAGGCAGGACAGTGTCCACAGGGTCCAGACAACAGATGACTTGCGGTGCATGGGCATGGAGAGGGGTAGGTGCCTGGGCCAGGCCAAGAGTGGGGGAGTCAGGGCAGCGCTGAACTGGACTCCAGGTCTTTGGGGCTCTGCCTTAGTTCTCCCATCAGTAACCCACCTGCATTCTGTTCCATCTGGAATGTCCAGCAGTTGCACCTAAAAAATGGTAGAAATTAATCAGTGCATTTATTGAACACCTGCTGTGTGCCCAGTTGGCTCCAGGCTGGCTCAGCTCTGGCCATGGGTGTCCAGGTCGCCATCTAAGGGTCACCTCCCCTCCAGCCTCAGCCCTCCAGTGCGGGGCAGGGCAGGGCCTGATCAGCATGGCTGAGCTGTTCCTGCCCTCTCTCTGCACCGAGGACAAGCACTGAGTGGCTCCCTTTCATAAAGGTGACATTAGCAGTCCCTATCTATCATCCTTTGACAAGTCACACTTGGTGCTGTGCCTTGCTGGTCCCTGACTGCTCTTCTCAGCAGACCCAAGGTTGCCTGGAAAAGGTTCTGAGGATTCTGGGGATGGCCTGAGGTCACACCTGTGTGCATGCAAGTGTGTGTGCTGCACGTGTGCACCATGCTCTTGGCTTAGGAAGGAGGAGCTCTGGCCAGACTCACTCTGGAACCAGAACAAGCTGGAAGGGTCTTAATGGGCACCCCCTGCTGGCCTTTCCTTGTAGGAACAAGGAGCTGAGGCCTAGAGACAGAAGGCTTGTGAGGCTGTCAGCTGCCCCTGGCTCCTGGCAGGCTGCTCTGCCCAGGAGCATCTGTGGTTGCTGAGACATACTCACCAGTGACCCCAAATTGCACTCCTCTTCTCAGTACTTGCTCCTGGCCTGGGCTGTGGCTGTAGAGCTACGGGAGGGTGGAAGGAATCTGGTGGAGTGGGAAGGTTCAGGTGCAGAGCTGAGGGGCGGGCTGGCCCCACTGAGTGAGCCCCTGGTCTGCAGGTGTGAAGGTGCTGTTCCGCGTGGGGCTGACGCTGGTGCGCCTGGCGCTGGGCACCACAGAACAGCTCCTGGCCTGCTCGGGGCTCCTGGAGACGCTCGGTGCCCTTCGAGCTATCCCCCCTTCCCAACTGCAGGAGGAGGTCTTCATGTCCCAGGTGGGTGCCCCTGCCCACCCTCCCTTGTCGCACCATTGGGGAAACTGAGTCCCCGAGCCGGAAGTCAGAGTGAGAACCAGTGCTTAGTTCCTGTCTTTTGAGGAGCAGGGAATGTGAAAACCCCAGGCCTTGAGCAGCTTGCTGTGACTCCCTTAGCAAGGCTGGGCGTCAGCCCCTCAGCCCTCAGCCACTTCCTGGGGCTGTGTGCTGCCCGCCCTGTGGGGACCTCATGGTTTCCTGCCTTCCTGCAGTCCAGACAAGCTGAGTACCAACTGCTCCCCACAGGTGCACAGCGTCGCCCTGTCTGAGCAGGACCTGCAGCGGGAGATCAAGGCCCAGCTGGCCCGGCTGCCAGAGTCGACATCCGGGCCTCGCCCACGGCCAAAGGCCCGCCTGGCCGGGGCCCGAGCCATCTTTGAGGCCCAGCAGCTGGCAAGGGCACGGGGAAGCACCAGGCCTGAGGTGCCCCGCATCGTGGTGCAGCCCCCAGAAGAGCCCAGGCCACCACGACGCAAGCCCCAGACCCGAGGCAAGACTTTCCATGGGCTCCTGACTCGGTCCAGGGGCCCCCCTATTGAGGGCCCCCCCAGGTCCCATCGAGGCTCCACCTCCTTCCTGGACACCCGATTCTGAAAGTCCCACTTCTGAGGGTACCATAGACTCAATGTCCTCCAACCCCAGTTACCCGAATGGCTGATGCCAGCCTCACATGTGGGCACCGCACTTTATTGCTGGACTTGGTGACAGCTGCCTTCTCACTGTTGACCAAGCGTAGTAAATGAACCAGGAAGCATTGGCTAGAAATAAATGATTCAGATTTGTCAAAAATTCTCAGGGTTTGCAAACCCAAGACATGGCTAGGCGATGCCCAGAGCGTCCGGTGAAGAAAGGGAAGCTGGGAGTTCTGTAGTAAAACGCACACTCCCCAGAAGGTCGGTCCTGGTCCTGCATCGGTAGGAGATGGTGATCTCCTGGGTGTCAGGCGGCCTGGACAAGTGAACATTCTTTCCTACGGTCTTCATTTTCCCCTAAGTCCTATCCACAGGAATTTATAAATCTCCAGGCATTGACGCACAACTGAGAAGTTCAAAAGTTTAAGCCCTCGGGCTAAAGTAAAATAAAAGAATTTCCCCACCACCCTGCTCTGTCATGACGTGCAGGCTCCGCGTGGAGTCCGCTGAGCTGCACTGACTCCACCTTTTCTTCACTCATTCCTCACCACGACTCTCAGGCACAGGATGAAGGAAGGTCAGGGACTGGGATTTGGGGGCCCAGCCCCTCCCCCCCACCGAGCTGTCCCCTTGCAAGCACAGAAGCAACACTGACGGAGCGTGGGGGTCAGGGCAGCCGGCTGGGCTAGGGGACCCTAAAGGACTCCTGGGGGGACCTGGAATAGAGTCGGACTGAGCAGAAGCCTGGCGGGAGTCAGATCAAATGCCCTCCACCCCCAACCCT